GAAGTATAGTCAAGGGGCTGGAGAGGAGGCTCAGTGCTGAAGAGCACTGGCTGCTCTTGCAAAGGACCTGGGTTCAGTTCCCAGCACCCACCTAGCAGCTCACAATCATCTATCACTCCAGTTCCAGAGAATCCGATGGCCTCTTCTGACCTCCAAGGGTACTATGTACATAAACAGTGCACATAGGTACATGCAGAGAAAACACTCATATACGTTAATTAATTAAAAGGTTTAAATGCATTCAGGAGGCAGAGGCAGGTGGATCTCTATGAGTGCAAGGACAGCCTGGTCTACAAAGTGAGTTCCAGGACAGGCAGGGCTACACAGAGAAACCCTGTCTCAAAAAAACAAACAAACAAAAAAAAAAAAAAGAATTTTAAATGAGTCTGTCCGAAGATAAAGATGAAGTACCTACCTGGACTTGAATGTGGGCCTCACCACTTCCCAGCTGTGTGACATTCAAGAAGAGACTGAGTTCCTCCAGGGCTCAATTCCCTCATCTGTAAGTGGGGGTGATGTTTTGGTCCAACTCATAGATTTTTAAAAAATGATTGTGTGTACCCTTGATGTGCACATGTGGACACACATGTCACAGACTGCATGTGCAGGTCAGAGAGCAACTTTGTGGAGTCAGTTTTCTCTTCTGTCTTTACTTGTGTTCTGGGGATTGATCTCAGGTCATCAGACACAGCAAGTGCCTTTACCTGTGGAACCATCTTGCAGGCCCTTCATTCTTTTTATAGGATTAAATGAGATGATGAAAAACGTAGGTGTTTAACATCCTGGCATATAGTTGCATGCTCAGTGTTGTTTACTTCTCTTTGGACATGGGTCTTGCTGTGTAGCCTAGGCTAGCCTCATATTCATCCCCTCTCATTGTCCCCAGTGCTGGGTTATAAGTGTGGGCCAGCACACCCATCTTCAACTGCTGTTGTTAAGAACAACTTATTTTTGCCAGGCGGTGGTGGCGCACGCCTTTAATCCCAGCACTTGGGAGGCAGAGGCAGGCGGATCTTTGTGAGTTCGAGGCCAGCCTGGTCTACAGAGCGAGATCTAGGAAAGGCACAAAGCAACACAGAGAAACCCTGTCTCGAAAAAACAACAAAACAAAACAAAACAAAAAGATCAACTTATTATTAATATTTATTATTGTTGTTGTTATTGCAGTACTGGGCACTGAGCACAGGGCCTTATGGAAGCACTCTACCATTGAGCTACACTCCATGCTGATATCATCAGTCTTAATTTGTCATAATGTCTCCTGGCTGCCTAGGGTAACAGTAGACTGTAGGGTCAATGACTTGGGATACTATATCCCAGTATATATCCCTCCACACCAGTGGTTTTTAGTAAGCCATTATTACTCCCAGGCCAGTGTTTGGAGGGATTTTTTTCTTTTTTTTGGTTTTTTCGAGACAGGGTTTCTCTGTGTAGCTTTGCGCCTTTCCTGGAGCTCACTTGGTAGTTCAGGCTGGCCTTGAACTCACAGAGATCCGCCTGGCTCTGCCTCCCGAGTGCTGGGATTAAAGGCGTGTGCCACCACCGCCCGGCAAGTGTTTGGAGGGATTTTTAAAACAACAGTATGTATTTCCCCCTTAGATCCGGTGGGTGGAGGTCAGGGATGAAGCTAAGCATCCCAGGGTGGACAGGGCAGCCCCTGCCATGAAGCTTCTAGGCTGAAGACAGAGAACTCTTGCAGCACACTATGCCCTGCACATGGGTATCAGCCGAGGTGGAGAACTCTTATGGCATGTGACATCCTGCACCTGAGTATCAGACTCGGAGCAGTTGACACTTCAGCCAGCTCCTGACTTCCAAAAGAGACTCGGAGTCCACAGACCACAGCCTTGGAGTCCCCATCCAGCAGGTGGGGAAGCCTGTCTTGTCTGTGGTGTGCCATCCTGTGATGGTTGAGACTCTTGTGTGAGGCCAACCTATTCTGGTCACTTCTCTCCCTCCAGATCCAGGAAAACCTATCTCAGCCTGGCTTTTCCCAAGTGGTTTGATTTCTTGTTCTCTCCCATTTCTTGAGAGGCCCCTGAGACCCCAAAGCCACCATCTGATGCTCTGCCAAGCCATGGAGGCAGGGAGGTTATCCCTCCTGCTGCCCCTGATGCCCTGGCCTCTGTTCCCGGTCTGTTTCCTTTGAGACAATCCTTCACATATACAAAATCAATGGGATATGACTTGATTTTATGCCTTCTCTCATGCTGAAGATAGACATCATGCCTGCCTCTGTATGTCACACACTGCTCAGTGTGTGGTCAAGGATCTCAGAAATCTGCTTGTGAGATGTTCAAGGGGAGAGGCAGGGGGTGGTGAGGGGATAGATACAGAGATGAAAAAAAAAGGAAGGAATAAAGAGGTCAAATGTTAACTAAAAGGAGGAGAGGAGAGTTGAAGCTCAGACTTGAACACAGTAAAGGAGCAATGGGGGAGCAAGGGAAGGAAAAGATAGAGACAAAGGCAGAGGAAAGAGGGAATGAGAGGGACCAGCTGAGAGAAAGGAGGTGTGTGTGTGTGTGTGTGTGTGTGTGTGTGTGTGTGTGTGTGTGTGGAGAGAGAGAGAGAGAGAGAGAGAGAGAGAGAGAGAGAGAGAGAGAGAGAGAGACTCAAAAGCACAGGGAAGAAAATCTCACTGAGGTCTCTGCCCGTGTTGGGAAGGGGGAGGAAGCGGGAGCGCTGGGATACAGGAGCGGTTTCCATGGAGATGAGGATGCACCAGGAGCGAGCAAAAACAGACTACAGTGAGGCCAGCCCCTCTGGCACCTAGGGAGAGGAGGGCTGGGAATCAACTGAAGGGATGGTGTGTGTGTTTGTCCCTTGCCAGTTTCTGACCCCACTCCTGCTTTTCGCCGGAGTGCGTGAGCCCAGGGATGGAGAGACGAATCCAGGGCATGCAGGGAGACAGACATCAAAGTCTCCTGCTCTTCCTTCTCCTCCTCTTACTCCTCCTCCCTCCATGCCAATCATAGAGCACCCAAGGCTTAGTCCCATGCCTACTTTTTGATTTCGACAGTGTCCAACACCAGAATTAAAATGCCCATGAGACCCTGAAGCTTCTGTGGTTAACCTCCAGCTCCCATAGCCCCCCAGGGGCTCTGCACTTGATTCTCTGTCTGTGTGCCAAGGTGTATCTTCAGACTGATTCTCTAGCTCTCCGGCTTGTTTCTGCTGCAGAGCAGGACATTCTTTTTTGCCCATCAAAGGTGTGTGTGTGTGTGTGTGTGTGTGGGTGTTACTGTCTTAGAGACTGAAGGCAGCTCCAGTAGATGAGAGATTGATGACAGTGTTGTTGAGGACATCACATCAGGCCTGGAGGATGGGTGTGGGATGGAATCCAAGTTGCAGAACTCTGGGGATAGAGGAGCCTGGAGCTTAGGGAGCACTCCCTTGTCCTGGAGATGGAAGAAGGAAAGTCAAAGCTCTTGTCCCCGGACGGGCCACATGTAGTGACAGAACTGAGAACAACCAAACCTTGTCAATGCTGTCATCTAAGGTCCAAGTTAAGCTCTTGGGCCTGGAGGAGTTAAAGGCCACACAGCTCAAACAGCTCTGTGTAAGCTGCAGACCTAATACACTGGTGGGACCGAGCAGACCAAGTCTTCCCAGTTGCCTCCTGAGCCTGAAGCTTCTGATTGCCCCTCTCAGAGTCAACCCCTGTTACCAAAGGAATGCATTGAGATGATTGGCTCAGACTTGCCCCACCCCTTCCCAGCCTAAGCTGGTGTTGGGAGAGCTTGGTAGATTATCCCAAGTGGGCACATTGGACGAGGGAGCTGTTTAACAGGGCCCTCTTGACCCACCCTTTCTACTTTTATCTGTCTCACTTCACCTGAAACTTACTGCATTATTTCCTTATTTGTGTAATTATTATTTTTGTTATGACTAGTGTTTTTGTTTTGTTTCCTTTTGTTTTTGAGATGATGTCATATTGGCCAAACTGGCTTTGTAACTGTGTAGCTGATGATGATCCTGAATTATTTTATTTTATGTGTACGAGTATTTTGCCTGCATGTATGTAGGTGCACCACCACATGTGTGCAGTTCCTGTGGAGGCCAGAAGAGGGTGTCAGATTTCCGGGAACTGATGTAATAGACAGTTATGAACTGCCAAGTAGGTGCTGGGAACTGAACCCAGATCCTCTGCAAGAGCAGCCAGTGCTTGTTATGACTAGTTTTGATATCAACAGCTAACATTATATGGGAGTTTCTGTGCAAAAGCACTTTGAAGCTCCCTGCCATCTTTACAGTTCTTAGATGATACTCTTAACCACTCCCGTTTTACAGATTTGGAAACTGAGGCAAAGATAAAGGGATTGAGGCTCACAAATCTTACAGAGACCTAGGCCAGCATTTGAGTCCTTAACACTGTACTGCAACCCTCCTCTCTCCCATGGGAGCTCCAAGAGACACAGATCCAAGTGCCTTCCTAAGCTCTGCCCTAGTGCCCAGCACACAGTAGGCCCTCGACAATGAATGACTGAGTTGGCACCTTGCTAAATGTCTCTAAAGCACTGTGGCTCCCATTCTACAGAAGGAACTAGCAGGGTAGCTCAGGCCTCCCAGTCACAGCTGGAGGGAGAGAAACCATCTTTGCTGTCTGCATAAGCATCTCATGATGAATTAAAAGTGATCGTCAGTGAACCACTGTTGAATGAGTAACAAAAGAAAAACCAAACCAAACTCACAAAAACTGAAGTGGTGAGAATGGGTGAGAATAAGAGGAACCAGAGGATGTCGGGGGTGTGACCTGGCTTTGGTCTTTTTACTCCTTGAAGGCGGGGTGAGGCAGGAGAGGCTGAGAGCTCTGCTTCTTCAGGTCAATATCTACCTCCCAATGCCCGAGAAGTAGTTGTTACCATGTGTTCTGATTGCTAGACGGGGCTGGGGGGATTCTCAGGACTCAGCCCCTACCCCACCTCCTCGCTTCTAGGGAGTAATAATGCTTTCTCTTTCTTCTGACCCGACCTCGGTGTGGGCCCGCTCCCCATGCCTAGCCCTGTGCCTCGTCTTGGGCTGCATGATCTTCCCTGATGGCTGGGACGCCGAGACCATCCGGGACATGTGCGGGACCAAGACAGGGAAGTACTCCCTCGGGGACTGTTCGGTGCGCTGGGCGTACATTCTGGCCATCATCGGCATCCTCAACGCGCTCATCCTGTCCTTCCTCGCCTTCGTGCTGGGCAACCGGCAGACTGACCTGCTGCAGGAGGAGCTCAAACAGGAGAACAAAGGTAAGTGTGTGACCTGAGCACAAGACCTGCTGGGGGGCGGGGCAGGCCAACAGTAGATAAAATTTTAAAAGTGAAGCAAAAATTAGACCCACGGAGCTGGAGAGGCGGCGTGGCGGTTAAGAGCACTGTTGCTCTTCCACAAGAGCTGGGCTGATTCCCACCCGCATGAGGCCACATAACTGTCTTTAACTCCAGTTACAGGGGATCCAACGCCCTCTTCTGGCCTCCTCTGGCACTGCACACATGGTGCACATACATGCACTCAAGGAACACCCATACGCTAAAAGTAATTTTTTAAAAAATGATTTAAAGAAGATACACACAGGGGCCATTAAGATGACTCAACAGGTAAAGGCACTTGCTACCAGGCTTAATGACCTGAGTTTGATCCCCAGGACCCACATGGTGGAAGGAGTCTCTGGAAAATTGTCCTCCGGCTTACACACACACACACACACACACACACACACACACACACACACACACACACAGAGCCACCCTGAAAACAGAGAACAAGGACCGAAGTTCAAAGGCTGTGGGCATCATCCCATGCCCCATCCATATCTGGGCATAAAGGTGACTGAGAAACGCTTACAGAGAGAAAAGTTCCGAGCCCTAAACCAAGCGAAACTAAGGAATGTATGGCTTAAACCAAAATTTAAAAACTGGGCGTAGGGTCTTACTCTATACCAGGCTGGCTTGAAACTAACAGCACGCCTCCCGCCTCAACCTCCTCGGTACTCGGATTACAGGTGTGAGCCACCATTCCCAACACGTTTTTGTTGTTTAGACAGAGACAGCATCTCACATAGTTCAAGTTGGCTTTCCATGCACTATATAACCAAAGAGAACCTGGATCTTCCTGTCTGTAGTCCCACCTTCAAGTGTTCAGGTTACAGGACTGCACCAACACACCAGGTTTAATATATATTTAAATTATTATTTAGCATTAAAATTTATTATTTAATAATGTATTATTAAACAAAATGTTTAATAATATAATACATAATAATCAATTTGTTTAATAATACATTAACAATATTTAATGTTTACTAATATTTTTTATATGTATAAAATAATATATTTATGGTATGTATTTAATAATATATAAAACTTAACATATTCAAATGTATGATAGATATATTTAATTTATTTATTAAAAACAAAGAAATAATGGGGCTGGAGAGCTAGCTCAGTAGTTAAAAGCACTTGCTGCTCCTCCAGGGACCTGAGTTTGGTTCCCAGCACCCATGCTGGGCAGCTTACAAATGCTTCTGGCTCCAGCTCCTGGGGAGCCAGTGCCCCCCTCTGCCTGCCATAGGCATCTGTCTGAACGTATGTGGCTTACACTAACATACACATAAAAAATTAATAATCTTTTTAAAAAGGAAATGATAAATACAGAATATAGGGGGGTGGTTATCAGGTTGGGTCTGCAGGGGAAGAATCTGGGGCATGGGATCAGAGCTTGTAGAATATACAAATTATCCACAGTTACAGCTTTGATACGAAATGGTGCCCATTCACAAATATATTACACCATGCTGATAACTGGCATGCTACATGTTGTCGATATCAATGACAGTCCGATACAACAAGGAAACAACTCAGGGCCATTCAGATGGATTGCTATGAGAGCCTGAGAACCCAAGTTTAATGCCCAGAACTGACTCCCACAGGCTGGACTCTGACCTCCACACACTCTCACACTCACACACAAACATCAATAATACACTTCATCTAATTTAAACAAAAGAAAAGAAACAGGGGCTGGAGAGATGGCTAAGGTGGCCCAGTGGTTGGCCATTCTTCCAAAGGACCCAGGTTCAATTCCCAGCACTCACATGGCAGTTCACAATTGTCTGTGGCTCCACTTGCAGGGGGTCTGGCATCCTCACACAGACATACATGCAGGCAAAACTCACCGGCATAATCCTGTTCTCTTGAGGCTCCAATAGGAGGATTATGAGTTCGAGGCCATCCTGAGCTACATACAAGATCCTGTCTCAAAACAACAAGAAACAATTTACACAGAAAGCCAGAATCTGGATGGTAAACTGCTTGTCAGATTTGTACTTACATGTCCTCACCCAAGTTGAAAGATGGCTTGTTTACTTCTTCTTCTTCCCCTTAAGGAGGGTCCAAGGTTTCTTGATGGTGCTACCGTGAACACCTTTGCTCTGCCTTTACACACACACACACACACACACACACACACACACACACACACACACACACACGTGTTTTCTTGGGGTCTCCAGAAGTGAAAAAAAATGACAGTGCCAGATAATTAAAGGGCTAAAGCCAAGCAGGGTCCTGATGTCAGCCTACCCCTAGTGCTGAGAGAGACGTTAAGGTGAATGTTTGTGTGTATGGCACACAGTCCTTAGACTGAGATCCAGAGTGGTGGTTTCCACAGTCCAATCTATGGTTAGCTTTTCCTTCCATTATAGTCATTTCTTGGGTTTTGGCTCACTGTACCTACAATGGGATTACATGAGATAATGTATACTGCTGCGTGTCCACTCCTCTGGCAGGGGTCCCATGGCGTGTTTGAAGTCTTGGGTGGTGAGCGCAGGTTAAGCCTAGAAATTACTTCACCTTGAGTTTCAGTTTCCCACACTTCTTAAAACCAGGTGATAGAACAGATCTGTCTCCAAGGACTGTCACGTGCTGAAAGCCTCAGTCCTCACAGGCAGGCATTACGACTGCTGTTTTATAGATGAGGACACAAATCCCGGCCCCCTCCCCGTGGATCCTGGGCAGCCTGCCCACAGTTCTCTAACTGCCATCAGGACCTGAATGCAGGTCCAAGTCCAGAACCAAAGCTCTTCCCTGCAATCACACTACCTGTCCCAGCCCATTGAGGCTAGGACTTTCCTGTCCCCTTTTCATTACCTAGGACACCCTCTCTGCTAATTGGACCTTAAAAGCTCCTACAGATGCCTCCCTCCAGGTAGTTTCTTTGGTCTTGGTTTGAGGTCAGGACCTGCCCCCTGGTGGCAACTCCCAGAAGTGCAAGACCAAGCCTGTTAAGTAGCCTCCCTGAAGCTACCTGGGCGTGGATGGATGTAACCAGCAATGAATGAGGTCCACTCTGTCTCTCTCCTGTTTCCAGATGGCTCTCTCACAAGTTCATTTGTTTTTAAGACATGGCCTTACAGTGTAAACTAGAATACCCTAGAACACACTGTGTACCCGAGGCTGTCACCAGACCAGTGGCAAGCCACTACAGCTCCCTCTTAAACATGATACGGGAGGCCAATCATGGTGGTGTACACCTGTCATCATCATACTCTGGAGGCAGAGGCAGGAGAATCAGGAGATCCAGGGTAGCCTCTGCTAATTTGTAAGTTCAAAGCCAGCCTGGGTTATAAGAGACCCTGTCTTTAAAATAACTCTCCCCCCCCAAAAAAAAAAAATCCCTATACAAGTGATATGGGAAGTGATACACTTCCATCAATGCCAAGAAATCTCCACCCTTCACTGGTGGATGAAGGTGGACTCTGTAGTTCAGTTCTGAACCAAAGTAAAAATTAGACTAAGCTGTGTGCCAAGTACTTGCATGGCACCTCTTCTGAACCTGCAGAATGACCCTGTGGGCTTGAGTGGCCCGCTTGAGGCTTGCCTGGCAGCCGACAACTCGGTGGTCGTCATTCTTTGCCCACTTCTGTTTTGGAGAGCGGCTGAGGGGGCAGCTGTGACCATCTCTAACACTCTCTCTCTCTCTCCCTCCCTCCCTCTCTTTCCCTCAGATTTTGTAGGCACTACAGTGAGTTCTGTGTTGCGGCCAGGAGGTGATGTCTCTGGATGGGGAGTCCTGCCGTGCCCTGTTGCTCACACCCAGGGACCCTGAACCCCAGGACGGTAGCCCAGGAGTTGGCCCGACCTCGGCATATCCCGTCTGCTGCCCCTCTCATTGCTGTGGTCAAGCTCCAGACCCCAATCTCTGACTGACTGCGCACAACTCCAGGCTTGGAAGAGAGGTGGGGGTGGGGCGGCAGCCTGGCAGAAGGCAGAGGCCCCTGAGATCCCGAGAGAGCCTGATGCTGGCCCTGCCTCCAATTTGACCTAAGGGAGCCTGGGTCTCCCTCTCTGGCCCTTCGGTTCCCTTCTCCGGTGTAGACTAGCTGGAGGTCCCCGAGGATCCCCAGGGGGAGGCAGCCTTGCAGCGCGCGCTCCTCAGACCCCTTCAGTCTGGAAGCCTGCCTGTGCGTTCTTGCCTCCCCAGTCCTGGTCTCCTCAGAGACTCATTCAAGACACTGCCCCAGGAGGGCCCGACTTTTTCCTACTTTATTTTTATCTGCTGATGATGGTCCCACCACTTCTACCACAAAGCTCCAGGTGCCACCAGCCCCACCCACGGGGCCTCTTCTGACTCCCTCATTCAAGCCTGCTCCCAGCTCTCAGAGGAACCTGAGCCCTGCTGAGGGAGAAAGGACAGGGTCTTCCTCCCCACTGCTGGTAGCCAGCCCCTCATCACCTCAGAGCCTGAGGGGAGACACGGGCTCTGGAGGCTGTGGGAGGAGACAGCTGATCACAGCCGCTGGAGTTTGCCAGCTTCCCAGCCCGGGGCTGGCCTGGCCTCTTCTCTACTGGGATATCTCACCAGTGACTGAACCCTTGACTCTGGCCTGTTTTGTACAGCATAGACTTCCCGGGCCCGTGGTCGGGGTTCGTGGCGGTGGAGAGGAGGCTCAGAGGTGGAGTTAAGGGATACCTCTCTGATCACGCTTCCTACCCCTCGGACATCTGCCAAGGGCAGAGACTGTCTTGCGTCTTTGATATTTTTCTGCCTAACTTGAACTTGCAGGTCACCTCTGAACAGGGTACCCTTGTCCCCACCCCAGGCCCTGTCACCCTGTCCCTGACTCTTTCTCCTACTTGGCCACTTCTCGCCTTGCGATATGCCCAGGGTCTGCAACCTCATGGGCAGTGCTTGGAGCTGAGGTGTGTGTGTGTGTGTGTGTGTGTGTGTGTGTGTGTGTGTGTGTAAGGGAGGGGCAGGTGAGAAGATCTCGATTCTTTTCCCACTGTGGGGGCTACTCCCTCCCCCTTAGCAGAGAGAAAATAAGGGAGATTCCAGGTGGGTTTTTTTTGTTTTGTTTTGTTTTTGTTTTTTTGACCATCCTTGGTTAACTTATAGATCTGGTGGCAGAGCCATCCAGTCATGGACGAGCCTTCCGTCCCCAGTGGAGGGGTGGCAGACTGGCTTCATCTAGCATAATGTTTTCTAGGGCATGGCCTGCTGCCTGGTCCCTGTGTTGAGGAGTGTGTGCCCCCTATGGGCTTCCCAGGAGGCTTAGCGCTTCCGTGTGTCGCGTGGGCCTCAGCCAGAGTTGGAAGGGCGGCTAGTCCACAACTTTGCTGTCCTTGTGTTCATTTTCTTAGGACTTGGAGCTGTGAGTTAGGATTCCTGAGCAAGACCCATGGCCCAAGGCTGCCCCATAAGGACCCTAACTGGAATCTGATGCCGGTTCCTGGAAGGATTCCTGACACCTGGAATTTTCTAGACCCCTGTCTCCACCTTTCCCCCTCTTTCCTCCAGGCCAGATACCTCCTCCTCAGCTTTGGTCACTGCCCTTGTGTCTCCCCACACTGGTCCCCGCCTCGTCCCTTCCTGGAGCCACAGCACTGGAGCTGTCTTCCTCGGCAGGTGGCCGGGTGACTGACTAGCCATGGACTGGGGGCGTGGGGGACTTGTGTGAAGGAGAAGGGAGGAGTCAGTCCCTCGGATTCAAACCAGAGGAGAGAAGGTCCCGGTCGTGACGAGAGGGGCCAGGAGTGGGTAACTGACTGGGAACTAGGCAAGTGGGAAGCAGGAGCAGAGCCAGGGAAGCCAGGATGAGACGGACAGTCATGGCGAAGGAGGGACGATGGTGCCGAGTTTGAGGAGGGGTCTAGAGAGACACACACCGTGATGGAGAAAGGGAGGTCAAGAACCGGAGCGGGGCTTCCACGGGGCCGGGGAGGCAGTGGATGAAGAGGAACTGGAAGTGGGAGATGGAGGTGTAATCTGCAGTGAACAAGAATAAAATGTAGAGAAGAGAGTGGGCAGGAGGAGAGGGAAGAAGAAATGCTGGGGGGCGGGGTGAGGAGGGCAGCCGTGTGGATGCTTGAAGAGAGTCTGTGCCTCTGAGGACACCTGCTGCCCGGGAGGCCCCTGTGCTCGGGTGGACAGGCTAGAATTGACCCCTTGGAGGCCAAGTGACTGGAGGTCTGTGGTCCAAGCATCCCTGGTCCTTTGTGGAGGAGTGTGTGTGTGTGTGTGTGTGTGTGTGTGTGTGTGTG